CACATGGGGGGGGGGGGGTGGTCCATATCCACCAATCAGATCGTGTAAAGGACTACAAATAAACACAGATGTGTAAAGAGCCAAATTCCTCGTACTTGTTTGAGGCTGAGAGAGATCAAAGCCAAACATTAATGGTTTGTCAACTCCAAACAAATAACAACCTTTCTTCATCTCTCTCTCTCTCTCTCTCTCTCTCTCTACCCTCTTTCTCTCTCCTCCCCTACCCCACCCATTGCAAGAACCAAAAAAAAAAAATCAAAAATTCCAAATCAAATCAAATCAAGAATCTGTAATGGGATGACATTCATTTAGGCACTCATAAAAAAATGACCTTTCTGCAGGTGAGGATTTCTTGAGCTTCATATACATACATATATACATATATACATATATAACAATGACAAAGCAAGCTCAAGAAATCAAATCAAATCAAAAATCTGTAATGGGATTTTTGAGCTTTCTGCAGGTGAGGATTTCTTGAGCTTCCTTCTCCATCCACACACATACACACACACACACATATATACATATATATATATACACAACAACACAATGACAAGCAAGCTCAAGAAAGCCATAGGGGCAGTGAAAGACCAAACGAGCATCAGCCTCGCCAAGGTCTCGTCCAACGCCACCTCATCAACCCTCGAAGTCGCCGTCCTAAAAGCCACGTCACATGAAGCGGTCCCCATCGAAGACAAGTACGTCACCGAAATCCTCCATCTTGTCTCCTCCAACAAATTACACGCCGCCTCGTGCGCCCGCGCAATCGGCAAACGAATCGGGCGGACCCGCAATTGGGTAGTCGCCCTAAAATCACTAATGCTAGTCCTCCGAATCTTCCAAGACGGTGACCCTTATTTCCCACGCGAAGTCCTCCATGCAATGAAACGTGGGGCCAAGATTCTCAATTTATCAAGCTTTCGCGACGATTCGAATTCGAGCCCATGGGACTTTACATCATTCGTTCGAACGTTTGCTTTGTATCTAGACGAGAGATTGGAGTGCTTTTTAACGGGGAAGCTACAACGGAGGTACACGCACGAGGGTTCTCCTTTGAATTCGAATTCTAGTTCGAATTCGAATTACCAACGGAGCAAGAGTAGAGGGGCTTTGTTGAGATCCAACGACCCCGTTAGAGATATGAAACCCGCGATGCTGCTCGATAAAATGTCGTGCTGGCAAAGATTGCTCGATCGGGCCATTGCGACGAGGCCGACTGGTGCGGCGAAGGGGAATCGTCTTGTGTTGATATCGCTATACGCGATAGTGCAAGAAAGTTTCGATCTTTACAAAGATATATCCGACGGGCTTGCACTTGTTCTTGATAGTTTCTTCCATTTGCAGTATCAGAATTGTGTGACCGCTTTTCAGACGTGTGTGAAGGCGGTGAAGCAGTTCGAGGAGTTGAGTGCTTTCTACACGTTGTGCAAGGGTATGGGTGTTGGGAGAAGCTCGGAGTATCCGAGTGTGCAGGCGATTTCCGAGGAGTTGATCGAAACTTTGCAGGAGTTTTTGAAGGATCAATCTTCGTTTCCTTCGAATGTTAAGCCGGCGAATCGGGCCGTGATGGCGGCGGGGGCGGTGCCGCCGCCCTCTATTGTCCGGCAGAGGTCCGAGCGGCACGAGAGCTTAGGTGGGCAATCGGATTTTTCTGCCACAAGTGATGGATTTTCGGATAGGAGTATGTCCGAGTACGGATCACAGTGCACTTCGTTGGAGGAGCTTATAAGTGCAACGGAATCTTGGACGGGGCCCGCGATCTCGATCGATCTCGAGGCTTATTCGGCTTCTCAAAGGGACGATGCTTTCATGATGAGTGATACCGGTTCGAGCCGATCGTTGCCCGTTTCGTGTTCGATTGCCGACCTCATGTCGTTGGATGATTGGGTTGAGCAAGAAGATGAGAAAGAAGTCGAAAATCAAACACAAGATCAACAACAAGATCAACAACAAGAAGTGAAGCGGACGGGGTATATGGATGCATCGTCTTCCAAGAATTGGGACGTTGTGC